GTGTCTATGGTAGCAAAATCTAGTTTCATGTACGTACTTGAAAAAGAGAACAGTTATATTGTCAGGTTTCTCAAAAATTACTGGTTTTTTTCATGGTAAAAATTCCTACGTGATCGACAACGCAAGCACCATGCATGTAAAGTCACTTGTAGAAGCGACAGTATTATGAACACAAAAATGTATGACTAATTGACGAGATTGAAGAATAAATTCAATCTCGTCAAAACGACTGAACGGATTTGGACAAAAATTAGCATATAGGTACATAAATAGTGTAACATAACACATGCTACTTTATATCCCAGTGACAAAAGCAAAGTCAGTTATAGAAGCTAGTATTATATAAACTAGGTATATAGGACTCTGGTCATCAGTTACCCATTTACTTTACGAAATGCTACGAAGTTTGTAGTTGTAGAGAGGTTGCATAACCTAAATGGCATTAGCGTCCGACTACATTAGATACAGGGTGGAATGTACAATATATAACGCCTTACTTTATTAGTGTAAGATCTCCTATACAGGGTGTAAATTTCTTCTTTTAATAATTTAGGTTGTATTCAACCTTAATAGAAGAAAATATATAATAAAAACATGTATAATTATTATTATATCTATTGCAATCAGAGAAACTTTAAGTGTGGGAGAGCCATGCTTCAGCGCGATGGGCCGGCTCGACCGGAGTGATACCACGGCCTCACAGAAAACCGGCGTGAAGCAACGCTTGCGTTGTGTTTCGTCATGTGAGTGAGGTTACCGGAGGCCCAATTACCCTCCCTTTCCCTAATATTCCCAATTCCTGAATCCCCAACGATCCTCAAACTTGTAACGCCTCTGGTGTTCCAGTTGTCCATGGGCGACGCCGATTGCTTGCCGATTGATCAGGTGATCCGTCTGCTCGTTTACTGGCTTATGCCATAAAAAAACTATATAAATTTTTAAATAAATAATTTTATAATTCATTTATTTCGATTTATAATTTTGAATATTTATTATCTGTATAATATTAATACTTAATTATTAAAAATTTAAATAGGTAGCTTATAAATTAGAGCTTTTTGGTTTTAATTGTTTTTGTGGTATTAATGTCACATCAGCCTTGACTAGTTGATTACAACTGTCATTACATAAAATACACATTTAATACCTTATATATTTGAAAGTAGAACTCGTTTCTGACCAACATCTGTGTTCGGTTTTTGGAAACGTTCTCCTTATGCTCTCTATACTAACTTCTGCCCGTGCTTTCGTCTACGTTTCCGCGATTAAAAGTAGTCTATATGTTATTTCAGAATATAGTCTATCTCTATTTTATTCAAATCGATTTAGTAGATCAATAATTAAGGTTTCACATCTCCTCGGAAATGATAGCGCAATTGAGACAAAGAAAGAAATTATATAACGTAACATTAGGCCTATTATCCCCGAAGGGGTAAGCAGAGGTGCACATTACGGCACTCAATATCACTGTACAATGTAACACCCACTTTCACTATTTATGTTAGGAGTCCTATGTAGTAGGGGGTGAGCCTATTGTCATATACCGGGCACAATTGTGGACTCCGTGATATTACAGTGAATTTAAAAAACAACAATAACACTTTGCCCGATCCGGGACTCGAACCCGAGTCCTCTTGCCCGGCAGTCGCACTTGCGACTCGGCCTCCGAGGCACATAGAAATAATTTAAATAATTTGTTGGTTAAATAAAATATATCAAAAAAAATCTATTACGGATTCAAAACATCAATATTGCGATATAACCTCGTTATATTACTACGGCGCGGCACTTTATAATTCAAAAGAGATCCAGAAAATGTTTTTTATATTTTTAAATAAACCACTTGTGAAATATCAAATTACTCTTTGAAACTGAAACGATTTACTTAAATTTTCCGTTATTTATCCTGATCCTTGATTCCAACATTAATATAGCTTTAATTCGATTACATTTGTTTATTTTTAATCTTTTTATGTACTGAAAATCGATGTATTTATTTATAATGATAACTGGATAACGCGTATTTCGAAGAATACGTAATCAGACTTAATCAGAGCACCCGGATGGAAAAAAAGCTTTTCTGCGTGGAAATATATTATAATGTATGTAAGTAGTATATAAAATAAATAAATAGGTTGCTATTTAATTTTATTTGTGTTCATTCGTTATTTAACTAGTCATAAATAAATATATAAAGAAATATTAATTTACATTACGACTACTACAATATATGACTGCCTCGTTGGCCGAGTGGTCAACAGTGGTCACAAGTGCGACTGACGGGCAAGGGGTCTCGGGTTCGATTCCCGTGTCGGGCAAAGTATTACTGGGTTTTTAAAAATCTCAGTAGTAGCACGGAGCCTGGAAATGTGCCCGGTATATGGCTATAGGCTCACCCCCTATTACATGGGACTCATAACATACCTCTAAATAGAGAAAAGTGGGTGTTACATTGTACAGTGGTATAATGTACACCTCTGCCTACCCCTTTGGGGATAAAAAGCGTGATATTATATATACATAAAAATATTTAATTTTATTTGTGTTCATTCGTTATTTAAGAAGTCATAAAGAAATATTATTTTATATTACGACTACTACAAAAAATGGATAAGATTCTAAACCCAAAACTTATATTACCTCTATATACCTAAACACACGAGCAGTCAGTTGTGTGGAAATTTTAATGCCTGGCTGCATGGCTATGAAAGCAAAACACCATTTATAATCGCAGTAAGTAGGTACAAATATGAACAGCGTCATAGCACAACAGTTAATCCCCAAAGCACGGTGATTATCGCGTCATCCCCAAAGGATTATACAGAGTGGAGCTAAAACTCAACAAACGTTCCACGACCCGACGCGACGCACCAACCGTAGAACGTATAAAACAAAACCATAAAACCGTGGATTTATTAAAATCAACCCCTTTTTTCATAACGACCCAAGAAAATTTGATTTCGACCCGATCTTAATTGATTTTTCCGTACATTTCGGGGCGAAGTCGCGCACGAAATATGTACAACAAAAGGGTGATTCAATTTTCTCGTTTTTATTTCGACGTGGACAAGGACGCGTTTAATTCCGTCGTTAATTAAAAATTTCGCCTCGCATCGCATATATACCTATTGTGGATTACTTTACGATTTCTATAAATTTCATTTCGTTGGAAATATTATAAAGGTTTACGAGTTCGTATCGCAATCAGTCAGTGCGTTTTCGCAATTTTTTTTCGCCTTTATTTGTTCGTAATTTTTGCTCGTAAAATGTACAGCGTTGACATTTTAAATTGCATCGTCACGACGTATTTATTGGGTAACGGAGGAGAAAATTTCATTCATTACGGCCTTTTCGCTGGGAAGTTTGGTATAATCAATATTTTTGGTTTCATAAAATATTGTTGAATGGCCTATTGCCATTTACCGGGTACAATTCCAGACTCCGTGCTACCACTGAGAATTTTTTACAGTACGGCAGTCGCACTTGCGACCACTCGGCCAACGAGGCTGCCCTGTTACATGGGACTCATAACGTAAATAGTGAAAAGTAGGTGTTACATTGTACAGTGGTATTGAGTGCCGTAATGTGCACCTCTGCCTACCCCTTTGGGGATAAAAGGCGTGATGTTATGTTATGTTGTTGAATGGCAACACTTACATTACATTTGCTACGGATGATACCTTTAACATTGATGACATTGTATCGCTAAAAATGTTAAAAACTCTCTTCCCTAATGACTTCTAGATACGTCTGTTGGGAGCGACGACACTTTAGTTGCAATCACCTACTTACTGTACAAATTGTTTACATTATTTACATAAAAAAAATGTCCTTAAACAGAATTTGAAAAGTAAACAACAAAAGCACACCAACTAATTATCCCTAAGGGAAACAACAAAGACCAATTACAAGGAACCCTTTTACAAAACTCCTTTTTAAATAGTAAACATCGTAGATTTTAATGCAGCTGTACACCAACATGGATATTAGCATTTAGTCTGAGAAACAACGACACTTTTGCCTGTACCCAGACAATTACCGCTTCAAATTGCTTCTCTTGAATTTAATTTCGCCACAACACTGAGGATAGACTTTAGTTCAGACAGAACGTAATATTATCATGAGTGTAAATGTATATTGGATGAGGAGATGCTAAGTGCATGTTTAGATGGTGTTCAGTCGTCGTTCGGGTAGTAGTTTTTACTCGGCTTTAAAAAACGAGGTTCTTATTTGGACCTGTAAGTTTGTATGTTTGTGCGTTTATCTTGCGATTGGCTGAATCGATTTTTGATGGGATTTTCAGAAGATTATTTGTTACGCTTTCCTAAGCGTAACTGCGCAATCGAACATAATTCATGGCAAGAATGAAACAAATGTCAAAATCAGTCAACAACTAATCTAGGATTTATCTAACATTTGATAAAATTCAATAATTATTTCCATGTGTTACCAACCCGGAATTTAGTATACCAATATAACGTTAGTATATGATGTAACCGTCTTTAAAAAAATAGGAAGTTGACGTCGGATTTTTTAAACGTTTATAATAAAAATCATTACTTTGTGACAATTATTTACGAGGTTTTCTGATCAATCTGTTTGGAAAAATAATGCGAATGTGATACAGTAGTCTGAAATTAGAATTAATATATTTTTCTGTCCGTGCTGAAATGGCTTACAATCAGATATTATCGGAGTGAGGAAGTAGAGAGTACAAGTGAAGTTGTCATACAAGAATAGAGCGAAGAGTAATGAGCTAGAAGAATATGTTAAAGTCAAAGCATTTATTTCAGTTAATCCTTTATTGTGCATTTTTCAAACGGCGATAATTGAATTGTTCGTTCGTCTGCCTATCAAGCAAGCTAGGTACTTGTTCCAAAGTGTAATTCCGAAAGGAGAAGATTTTTAATTCTCACGTATGCGTATTCTACTTATTATGCCACTTTTTTCGAATCACGTTTTTGTTTTTCTTATTCAAAAAAAGTAATGTGACGTCTTACCTGACATTCATAAGTGCCATTGTCCCTCTTCTGCACAAACTTGATTTGTAGGGTCCAGTCTTCAGACCCTTCACCGTGTAAGACCTGAAAATAAAACAAAATCTTAATATACTACCAATTTTATCATTATTATAAATGCAAAAGTTTGTGTGATTGTTGTTTCGCAGACGAGGCCAATTGCTGTTAATGTAATATTAATCCACCTACATACATCCTAAAGGGGTAGTGAGATTTAATAGGACTGATGCCGATACGAAGCCGCGGTAGACATAACGGGTTGCCGGGGCTCCGGCTCGAAGTGCAGAAGTAAGAACGGGGTGGTTTTTAGTCAGTAAGAGTCTGACACTCGTTCTCGGCCGGGCGGGGCGGCAGAAGCCATTAGATTAGTCCCCCCCTGTCACAAAAGGGGTAGTGAGTAAATATCATTTATATAAATTTTTAGTAACACGAAAATTGCTCAAAGTCACACCTCTCCATGTTATTTATTACAAAACATGTTTGTATTTAGTTTGACAAGTATGTTTCCTTGAATTTCGTGTTTATTAACTAAAACTTTTATTTACGCTTACTTTTCCGCGAAGAGGCGAACATTTATATGTTTTATAGTACACACGGCATCAAGTTTTGCGAAACTAGTATAACATGACCCTTAAATGTGCGAAAAGATCAAATAAAGTGAGACTACGCCATACTGGTTATGAATAGCTCGATGTGTTGCGAATTTTTCGCTATACTTTGAGTAATACTAGAAGGAAAGAGACCGAAAGGTCGGAGTCCCATACGATGGTCTGACCAAGTATCCAACGAGCTGGAGATACCCATGAATGTTGCAATGCATCAAATAACGGAACAAGATAAGTGGCGGCATCTAGTGCACAAAATCAGAGGGAGTCACGATCCTCAGCAGAGAGGGAGTAGACTAAGACGAGAGAAGTATGAACATGAAACTTTGTAAAGATTAAAATTATCTGGAAATCAATTGTAGTGGCATATACTCATATAGCATGAAACAACAGTTGTTAATAAATTAACAATTATACGAAGTATTATCCAATTTTATACATTTTTAATGTAATATAATAATATAATGTTCAAGAGTTTGTTTGTTTGAACGCGCTTATCTCAAATACTACTGATTCGAATTGAATAATTATTTTTGAGTTTGATAATGGAGTTCATTTATCGAGTAAGGCTATAAAACATCACGCTGCGGACCCGAGCAGAGTGGATAAAACCGCGCCAAAATAGCTAATTTCAGATAAACCGAGAAATATCGAGTAACACTTTTACCTGACTCAGGATACCAGCAAACGAGGTACACATTGTGGCTACATTTTCTAAGATCAAGTCGAAAGTCACATAGATGGTTTTACAACTATAATAGCATTCAATAGTGCAGTAGTGCAAACTTAGGAAGTCCCTGTGACATTTCTAAACTCAATTCTGATATTCCTTTACCACGGAACAAGATGCGGATTCCCAAGGAATGTATTTTCTAGGATACGGACGACGTCAGTGCATACATACTACTTTTATAGTTTGGGGTTAGTAACTGAAGTACGTACAATATTTTAGATAAAGGATTTTATATGATTGGATTTAATGGTTGCAAATGCAATCATAACTTATGGTTTCTTCGTTTAATTTTATGGCAATGTATGATACGTCTCTGCTGACTAGATTCTGAATTTTCCAGCGTTCTATAGTAAACTTTTATACAATTATAATCTATTATACGAAATGATGTCGCGGAGAAACTAACGAGTTACCGGGGCTCCGTCTCGAAGTTCAGGAGAAGGAACGCGGTGGTTTTTAGACAGTGAGAGTCTGACACTCCCTCCCGCCTCACCTAGGCGGGAGCAGTATTTCGATGATTTTCCCCCCTTAAAAATAATTATACGAAGTGATAGTTATATCAATAAAGGTTTATTTATAAAACGGAACTTTTTATTTAAATGTTTTTTATTTTTACTTAATTTTTTTTCTACACGGTAACGTCAACCCCATCATATTTCATTTGAAACTTGCGATTGATTGTACACATTATATTCTTCGACCTACGACTCAAAGTAATGTACATTATATTTTCTTCTACTTTCAAACATCTTAACTAACATCGCGTTCTTAATTGACGAGACTCGATCAATTAAAAACTGAGCTACGCTAACTAAAGCTGAGATGGAAAAATTCTCCGAATCAACTGTCAAATCGACATAGTAATGAATCAGGCATTTTTTAACGATCCCGAAAAGTTGTAAAAAGAAAACTGTGGCGCAAAATTATCGAAGAAAATTAATTAAAAACGAGGAAAGAATTAGAAATGGTAATTCAGCAACTTTTTAAGACATAAAGCGTCGATGGATGAGTTTTATGTCGAACGGACTGCGGGAGACAGAAGTGGCTTGAAGTTTTTGTTATTCTTCAGTTAGTATGTCGTATATTTATATGGTATAATAAGTTGATAACTAATATTTGAAATTTACTTAAGTAAATGAAGATTTGATTAAAATTCTACAATGTTACCGTGTGGAATATTTACTCGCAGAAAATACGCTGTTGTTACTGATATACAACAGTACAACGAACAACACGCAATTGTTATTTGCGTCTCTCTGTGAGCCATCACTTAGCATTAATACACACGCAGATTACAAACATAATTACAAAATTATGAGAACACACAGCGCTCCTACATCATCTTTTGTGTAGCACGCTTTTGACTACCAACGCTTTTAAGCGCAAATAACCCATTAACCCTTGATGATTCCAGCAAATTGTAGCGAAAACCTCACAGCAGCTATTTCCTCATAATTTTCAGAGCAACACTGAATAATACGTACTAATCTCTGCAGGAAATTCATCGAGCAAAGATGACGTCGACAGAATTGATGTCGAACTTCGTCGTCGCGACTTTAGGTAGTTTTGGAGTGTGATCCAATCGCCAGACGTGGCACAAATCGGGGACGACGCGACAATGACGAAAGGAGGCCGACGGACGACGGAAATAGCCGAAAAAAAGCGAAACAACCATTTGCTCATAATGTGTAATAGGATATTTTTTTTTGTTATAAAATAAGTTTTTACGCGGACGTTGGCCGTCGATATGAAAACTATGTCAGCCGTTTTTTGAACGCAATTTTTCCAAGTTGTGTTTATGAATTTTATGTTGAAGCTAGTGATGGGGGATATAATGAAATGAGGTTGTTGGGGGGAAATATCTCATTTTATATTCTACGGGAGTGGCGTAGTGCAGATGTCGGTCGACGCATCCTGACTATAAAATCGATATTACAGTTTTCATTAGGTATCGAGTAAGATTGCAACGGGAAATACTAGTTTTAGTCTGGGATCCTGTGATTGGTTTTTGGGAATTCAAAACGCTAGAGCGCTATTAATAGCTAGTTGAAACTAGCGACCGAATGAAGAGACTTAAATGTAAACCATGGACTTTGAGTTACCGACTATCTATCAGAAACAAGATGGCTGCTCCTAAAGATTTCCTTAAGTTAGGATTTATTTACATTTCCACTTAAATGTGTAAGCATTCGATTTATAAAGGCTTTTTGGGGCTTAGTAACCGATTCGTAAAAGATACTTAGTACGAAAAGATTGTTTGAAACCATCCTACTTAAAATCATCAATCGAACTCTTAAATTCTTTTCACAGAAATACTTGATTAATTCTTTTAAATCGTTCGGTTGCTATCTGGAAACTTAAGAGACGGATTTTGTTTTTAAGAATTTGAATTATTGGTCTATTGAAAGGGATATTTATTAGGCTATCTTGTTGCTTGATTGATCGCACAAAAAACAATACCGAGTTATCTCCGCGGTTTTTTTTATGGGATATGCTGGTAAACGAGCAGACGAATCACTTTATGGTAAGCAATTGGCACCGCCCATGGACACCTGAAACACCAGAGGCGTTACACGTGCGTTACGGGCCTTTTGGTAATTGGGAATTTGAGGTTTGTAGGGGGATTGGAGAGATTGGGGGACTAGGTAATTGGGCCTCCGGTAACCTAACTTACACGACGAAACACAACGCAAGTATTGTTTCACGTCGGTTTTCTGTGAGGCCGTGGTATCATTCCGGTCTAGCCGGCCTATTTGTGCCGAAGCATGACTTTTCAACACTTAAAATACGCGTTTCTTGATCTTGTAGTTTCATTATATACTATTATTTACTAGCGGCTCCGTCCGCGTTCTCACCATAAAAAGTAGTATATGTATTACTCCAGACCATAATCAATCTCTGTTTCAAATTTCATGCCGATTTCTTCAGTCGCTTTTATGTGACTGAACAATAAACATACACACACATACATCCTCACCAACTTTCACATTTATAATATCAGTAGGAGGTAGGATTCAATGGTTTGCTTTTAAAAGAATACACTGTATTTTCTTTTACTCGTATTTGCTACGTAGTTCAAACTGGCTTTAACTAAAAAATTCAAGCAATAATAGGGTAGATTCCTAATTTTTATTTTAATGTCCGTCTGGTATATTATTTTAAACTGTCAAACACCAAGCGGTCACCGGTGACTGCAACCTATTGTTCTATAATTGTGTCTTTAATGACGGTACTCGACGAGTGAAATCATTAGACACGTATTTTTTATTTTTATACAGAAACGAATACTTTCGTCGATGCATTGATTTGAAATGTCGCGTGACGTCATTTCTATGTAAATTTTATACGTAGTAATGACGTTTTAGCCCCCACTCCTAAACTTTGATTCGTTTTATCTAAGTATTGTATTATTATACGATAAAATTAAAAAAAACGTGTCTAATATTTTTTCATTACCTAACTTACGAACTAATTATTTTTTTAATTTTCATACCCTGTCATCATCCCAATTCTTTGTGTGATCCACAGATTGTTGTTCCGGGTCAGGGTGTGATGTGTATGTGGACTTGTATGTTTGTAATCGCACTCACGACACAGGAGAAAATCCAAGTATGGGACAACGTTTAAAAAAAGCATATTGAGATGGATTCCCGGCATGGGTATGTCACTATCATCACTACGAACTCGTTTCCAAAGTACTATCAACATGACAACGTGATAATCACATC